GGGAGCCAAATGATACTTTTCCTCAAATAGGAACTCCCGACTCCTCCAATTTTTATTCTTCATTTGGCCTGTCATCAACTTCTTAAGTCAAGGCTACTCTTCCCACAGTCATAGAAATTGGAAAGAGACTATTTTATATACTGTTACCAGCAGATTATAGTGAAATCAAGCAGCACATACAAATGCTATTTAACACTCTGGCATTCATATACATACAGATACATATATATACATACACAGGTGGACAATCAGTATAAATTCTAGACTTTAGCTTATATATTATATAGGTATCATTGATCTCTTTTTCATACAGACAGACACTGCAACTATCATGAACCCATAACTGCTAACCACATGATGACAATTAAACAGTTGAGCAAATAATGGTCAATGTTTAAACTGGGAATGGATGGAGAACTTCACCAGATAGGTCAACATGACTGAAACTGAAAAAGGTTATGTTAAGTATAAAGGGCTCAACCCTGAAGTAATTTCCTTCAGTTGTTTTTTATAATCAGATCTAATGACCCATTGTAAAACTATGTTTTGTGAAAGCATTAGACAGACGCAATATGGACTAAACTCAATTCAACCTATGTCCCTCATCTCCCTAAGGCCTAAGCTAAAAGCAGACTGTACACAAATACTCTGGTCCCACGTCTCCCACCCCCACAAACCCTTAATAACATGGGATTTGAAAGCATGTCTAGAAAGGAAGAGGGAAAAACCTAAATCTCTGAAGACCTAAATTCAAAGCTAGAAAAAAAGAATTTCTCCATCAAGCAGTTAGCATTTCTCCTTTAAAATATAGAACAAATGTCTTGCCTACTGTAAACTGTTTATAGCCAAGCTTGTATACACACACAGGCTTTTTTTAAAGACAGATTTTATAGTGATTCATAAAAAGCTGATTTGAGCAGTCACTATAAAGACATTCTGCAGTTCCCACTGAAGACAAATCTTCAGCTTATTGGAGCATACCATAGAAACTGGTCATCCCAAATAACTTTTATATTCTATACAGAAATTTTACTAAGTGATGCAACACACATCAATTATAGGCCTATAATTATACATGTATCTCACAGACACCACAACTCCTTAGCAAGATTTTCCTAACATTCTATGACATCATAACACCTTATTGGAAAACTGAGCACATGAGAGAGTATGTTACCCTAATGTTGTAAAAATTGCTGTAATCCAGACTTAACATTTGGGTAATGTGCAGATGAAACGAGGTTTACTAAACTGTTAAATCAGAACCCTCCATTACAAAACCATTCTGTTTTATCAGGAAGACTGACAGACACACTGGCTACAAAATTGTGGCCGTCACTTTGAGAAACTCAGTTCTGAGACTGTGAATGAATTATTTTGTCTAGTTCCTCATAGGCAGTATAGAGGTTTCAGACTATAAATTACCATATCATATGAAAAGTACGTGAAGATGCCCTCAGTTAAAATATATATTGGGACACAGTATAAATATTAATTAGACATGACCTGCATACAAATACTGCACTGTTATTGAAGATCGCTTCTGGAAATGACAATTTACCTGCTAATTTACCTGCTAATTAGGAAATTTCAAAGATTCAATTCAACACTTGTGATAAAAGTTAGGATGGCATAAAAATGAGAAATTACTAAGCCTCTTAAAAGTCTCTCTTTCTTTTAGCTGTCAATGCAACAACAATGTGCACATCCTTTTTTTCCATTTTCTGATGAAGCAGGATAAAAAGATAAAGTCACATAAAAGGTGTTTATCAGAATTATCTCAATGGAGAGTTGGGAACTAACAATTACACTGTCTTCACACATATCTAGTAAAGACCACCACAAAGATAAATTTCTTGAAACTACCATCTCTTGACCCAGCAAAATGGAATTGTTCTGAAAATGTCTCCCTGACAATGCCCTTAAGACTGAGAAATAAAGCTAGAAAAACCCTCTCATATTTCATACAAAGAATTCTAAATAATTCCAAGAAATCAATTTTCTTTGGGAGTGCAGTAAGCTTTCAACCAAATCCAACAGAAAAGCCATTTTCATGAAAAACTGAAAAGATGACAATTAGGAGAAAAAAAAAAGATAAGGAAAAAAATTATTTCTGCAAACTTTCCCTTTTTGTAAACTGTGTACTACAAAATTCAAGCATCCAAGAAAAAAACTAAGGTACCACTTAAGAAATGGGAAGCCAGGGAAAGCTAGACTTTTAGGCTTAAAACTAACATTAGGGTAACCTGTTTTCACCTTGGAATTTGTACAGAAAATCCAGACAACTCAGTTAGGCTGACCAATCCGCAGAGCTGTCCTACAGAGCATAGAAGCTATGAAGTCCACTTTTTCAAATTTTTAAAATATTCAATATATAATATTTTTTAAGCTTTCAACATATACATAACCACACTACAAGAGTATACCACCCATGCAATCTTTAACTTTTCTTTAAAACAAAAGGTGTAAAAAATGGTGTCATACAGCTAGGACAGACATTCAAAAGTTACAGGTGTAAGCCAGCTCTGAATTCCAAATTCATATTTAATCCCCTGTCCCACACCACCTCCATCTCCTGAAAGCATTCTGCAGAAGCTGTTACCCACAATGTAGACTCATGAAGACGAAGGACTACATTTCATTTGATCTAACACTAATTTAATCTTCTACCATGTATCTATTTTATATAATAAAATATTCTAATCAACAGTCCTGTTATCTAAAGTATTTCATTTCACTTGGATAATAGAAGTTCACAGACTCTTCATAAAACACAATGAAAAAGAGCTTCACATTCTTCTCCATTAGTAGATGATTCCAAAATACATAAAATAATGCAGTTTCTTGAAGTAAATTAAAGAAATATAAGTAAAAACTCCTCTTATTGCTGGCTTTTACCAAAGTAAGCCATTGTCATACGCAATGATCTCTGTCAACTTGATTCTCCTTCTGGTTGTAATTTTATTGTCACAGATGGGTTACAGTTGAAAAGGACCTCTGAAGACTTTGTCCAACCCTCTCACTCAAGGAGAGCCACTGAGAGCCAGTTCCCCAGGACCATGTCCACAGTATTTGAATACAGCCAGGGATGGAATCTCTACCACCCACCTCCCTCATAACCTGAGCCAGTGCTTGGTCATCCACACTGTCAAAATGTGATTCCTGGTGTTTAGAGGGAACCTCCTGTGCTTTTTTGTGCCTGTTGCCTCTGGTCCTGTCTGTGGGCACCACTGGAAAGAGTCTGTCTTACTTTTCTTTGCACCCTCTCTTCAGGAATTTATGTACTTAGATGTGATTCCCCCTCCCTGAGCTTTCCCAGGCTCTCCTATGAGGAGAAATGATCCAGTCTCAGTCTCTTAACCATCTCTTTTTGACTCTCTCAAAACAGAGAGCTGGTTTTTGTTAATTTTTTTTTTCCAATAGAACTTCAGAAATCCTGCATTCCATGACCTTTTGGGAAATCCCTGATGGAATTGGCACTATGTATGAAATTCAGCAGCTCACTTTCTCCTTCTAATTCAAATCACTTTTAGTAAGCTAGAAAGGAAAAAAAATCCTTCCAAAAATTCACACTTTTTAAAGTTTAAGTGTTCATTAACATTGCTATGAACATTCTTTTCCAGCATTATAACAATATTTTAAATGCAATCAAAAAAACCATTCAGTGAAAATCAATATTTTAACAGCTGCTACTAGATTATATGTGCTCTTTAACATTCAGTCACCATAAGCTGAGTAATTATGTTATCAAAAAAGCAGTAATATCTGGAGTCAGTATAACTATTACAAAGCCCATTTTTGTAAAGGGAGGGCATGCTGACCCAGGTTATCATCTTACTCCCTTAAGAACCAATAAAATTTGGGAAAAAGCAGATAGGGATCTAAAATACTGTTGTAAAAATCATGAAGCATTGTCATTTCCAACATACTGTCATGAACACCATGACGCTTCTGGGAATACAGTTTGGCTTATTAAATAAAAAAAAAAAATGCACTGAATGTATTTCTTCTTTGTTTATATGGCAAAGTAGGTTCCACCCCCCAAAAATAGATGCCATAAATTAAGGATAATCTGGGGAAAATTTTGGTTGGGAGTACATAAAAGTACAGGTTTCACTCCTGAAAGCATTCAAAGCAACATGAAATCTTAAGGCCTTCAAACCACAAGTGCTAGAAGCCTTACACCACACGACACAATTTTGTGACAGAAGCTTTTGTTCCTTTTAAAAATTTGCACAGCTTTAAACTTTCATCCTGTAGTTCAAAAACAGAAATCATATTCCAGCATTAAAGTTACTGACAATGTCTTGTGGACTAGACACTTGTTTATATTGAAAGTACAGCCAATTAAACTAAACCTTGTAATTTAAAGCTTCATGGAACAGTAATTTTTATGGCCTGATAAGTAATGGAGACAAACTTAGGTAACCCAGAAAGACCCAGACAAATATATTTATTTAACAGCAAATGTTTACTGGTCAGGCTGCAGAAACAATACTGGGTTTTTTCCCTCCTTTGCTGCAAAGTAATAAGAGTACACACATGAACATATCCAGAGAGAACAAGGAACAAGAGTTACAAAAGAACATTAAACCAGAAGATAATTTATCTGCCCTGCTGAGAAGAGCTCAGGGAGGTAAGCCAAAACATCTAAAAAGAAGAAAATACCAGAGAACTAAACAAAAGAAAGTAGAAGTGTAACACTCAGTTAAAGTAGTGCAGGAGATTTATACAATATTCTACCCCAGCCTACACTGATGAAATGATTCCTGATGTATCCTCTTGATCATTTACCTATGAAACCAACAGCCCACAGAGCTCCGTACAGAAAAGATCTCTGAAATTATCACTTATGCAAAGCATACATGACAAAGTATAGCACTGCCCAAACATTCAGCTAGGGCACAGAATATTAGGGTGAAAAAGAACACACCAGCAGCACTTATGCTAGCACTTACATGTTTCCAACTAGCTGCAATTAGCTAAAGTGTGATGCTTACCTTTTATAGTTTCCTCCACAACTTCTACTACACGATCTATCTGCTGAACCTAAAAAAAGTCAGAAAGTAAATACCTAAGTAGTCAACAACTGGACATACTTTCATATTAACTAGTCTTTCAAGAGTGTCTTCTTCTGGATTAAGAGGTAGTAAAGAATTTTGGGCTGTGTTTTTAGCCAGTTTTTATTCACTGTGGATCTTGGTCAATGTGCCAAAAAAAATTTAAAATTTACCACCCAATTTAAACCAAATTTTGTCCTCAAAAAGAGCAAGCTCACATAAGTTTGGCAAAAATCACCAAATTGCTAGAAAAGAGTTGAGGCCTTAAGTGCTGTTCATGGTCTGTGACAGGCAATGGTGAACCAGGCACTCATCAGCTGGGTGCCTCAAACAGCCAAAGTGCTCCCTCACCTCAGTCTCCACAGCAAAATAGTAGATGGTGGAAAACACAACAAAAAACTGATGATACTGTCAGGGCAGAATATAGGGGAGAAAATGAATGAGGTACCAGAGGGGAAAGACACTGGAACATAGGAAGAAAATAAAAATGCTTTTGTGAATTTTAATAGAACAAGACATTCTCCTGAACTTGATGCAGGCTGTGTTTGGAAATGGAGAAAAAAGCCCTCATGATTTTCACAACACAGAATTATCTTTAATGATCATTATACAACGTCTGCAATAAAGACAACAAATTTATGTTTCAGTGTTACATTTGCCAAAATTCACCACTAATGAGATAAATAGTTCAATTATTTCTTAATAGATACATTAGTCTTTATTTAAAGTCAATGGCCAGCACACTGTAGAGATTTTGGCATATAAACTAAAAGGAATCAACATTAACACTGCAAAATTAAACACTCGGGAATTCTGGAAGCTGAGATTCTTTCCAGAGCTTTTATCCAAACCACCTCTTCTATGTAATTCTACTATAGATATTTACATACAGTGCAGGAAAGCCAACTTGTCACACTTCAGTTAGTTTGTGATTTTTCCACAACATTCCTTTTTAAACACTGCTTCTCTAAGCTGTAAATTACATTAACTAGATTTAGTATGATTTTAGCAGTCTTTTCCTTGGAGTTTCTTTTCCAGCTTGTTTCCAAAACAAGCAGAAAAGCAGAAGTTGCAGAGGCTTCAAGAGAAGAACCTGATCTGCAACAAGGAGCCTGGAACTTGGATCCCTTGTATCAAAGCCAGTAAGTCTTTCTGCCCTAAACCACTGAGTTTGTCTTTTCCTGTATATATAAGACTGCACAATCTTGTCTACTTCATATTCATTTTTCCAATCTGTCTAGTAGAAGTTAAAAAAAAAAGCTCACCTATAGTTGGAGTCTGATTTTAAATTCCCAGCTGAAGTCAGTTCCTTTCCTCATCTGGGTGTTGGATCAAGTCCATGTCAAAGTATTTTTATTTTTCTTATTTTTTTTTTAATCTTTTGAAATACAGACTTTTAAAATAGGGATGGCCACCATTTTAGATTTTTAATACAGTATATTAATTATGAATTCTATAAATTAAGTTATATTATTGCTAATATATGTATTTTAATAATTTTATTGAAAAATAAATATATTTAAATAATTTTCTGAATCACAAGCATTCACATTACAGACATACATATCTAGCAATCAACTTGTAAAGAAAGCACACAGCAGCAGTTGTATGGAAGACATGCATATTTACATACTTGTGTACATATCCATTTTGGATATAGTTTTAAAAACTATGACTCAAGATATTTAACATATGCACTTTCTACTAAGTGTTTAAAAATAAATAGAAAAATTCCACTTAAAAATAGAAGTATACACATTTAAAATTATACTACAGACAGGGAGCAAAGTCTGCCTTATATTACCTAAAACATTATTGCTATATGTCTCACTACTAGACTGTTTACATTCATAACCATTTTAGTAATTTAAAATATGAGTAATCTGGGTGGTTCATAACCTGAGCCACCAATTACTTTCTGCATTGTGCATCTGAGGAATTTTTGCATTGCTCCAAATCCCCTGTTGAATAAAGACAGAAAAAACCCCACCAACCATTCTATTGCATCTTCATTTTATTGGATAAATTAAATTATTCTCAATATGCCTGTCAAGAAGATGGCTCATGTAAGTAATTAAAATTATAGGTCTGAGAGACAATGCGATCTGCACCCAGAAATGGATGTTTGTTCTGCCTTACATGTCATTTCCCACATTAAATATTTTTCATTTGATATTGGAAATTATTTGGCTAAAGCCCCAGGTGTTCAAGAAGAAAATGTGGAATGCTTCCAGTCTGCATTTATGAAGATAAAAGTATGTTAGAAAATGTGAAGTGAAAAGAGGGAAAGGTTTATAAATTCTTATTTGGGAAAAAGAAAAGGGAGTGGGGGGGAAGGAAGGATGAAAAAGGAAAAAAAAAATTACAAAGTCATAGTAATGAAATTTTCTTGGATATATAAAGGTCTGCTGGATGCTTTTCCTCACATCTCACTAGCCTTATGGATAATTCTGCTCTAGACTGGTATCAAAGATATGTGTAAACCTTCAGAGCAGAGCTCCAATAATGTCTCTCTCCCTCAGGCATCAGGAAGTCCATGAAGCAGAGAGACCTCCTGGTGGTGGATGAAGGGAAGAGACACCATTCCTCAACATTTCTTTGCAGAGTGTCTCAAAAAACCAATGCCCCAGGAGTGACAGCAGGACACCACTGCTGGGTGTGGTTAGTGCACCCTACTTGGCTCTACAGATCCTGTGGAACCTTATCCAGCATAGTTAAGTACATTTTGGACCTCATGTCCACTTCAAATGGTTCTCCACTAGGCAGAACGGAGCTGACAGCTGAGTAGAACTATGCAAAAAGGAAAAAAAAAAAAAAACAAAAAAAAAAAAAAAAAAAACAAAACAAAAAAAAAACACTCAACAACCACAAATCAGGGCTGGTGCAGAAATCTGGGCTGAGATTGATATGGGTCAAGAGCATAGGCAAGGCTCACGAGCCCATGGAAGAGTAGCCAAATGGCCAAAGCAGAAAACTCAGGAAACTCTGGTGAAAAAGCAAAGATAAAGAATTTTTATCAAAGCATGGAGGCTGAATTGAAACAAAGGCCAAGAAAAATCTTTGACTCTTCCTGGTGGGATCAGAGCTAGGCATAAGTGCAGCTCAGCAATCATTTGTATTCATAATAACCCGGCACTGCCAAGGCCCACTAAACCATATCCCTAAGCACCAAACTACACAACTTTTAAATGCCTCCAAGGATTGTGACTCAACCATTTCCTTGAGTAGTCTGGTCCACTGCATGACCACCCTTTACATAAAGAAATTTTTCCTAAAATTCAATATGAACATCCTAGGAGTGAACATAATATCTATAGAGAGCTACTTGAAGTAAAACAATCTTTTTTTTCTCATCTTGGAAAAACCCTGTCCATTGATTCTCATTGACATAGTTAAGAAACAAAACGGTCACTACATAGATAAAATAATCTAATGTAGGTAATTAGAACATGCTATTTATAATCCTGAAGCTTTTAACTCCAGTTCACCAACTCTCAGTTTCATCTCACCTTCTTTAGGGATCTCTGCCAAATGCTGGATGTTAAAAGACTACTCAGCCTATCCCCTCTCTAAAGCCAGTAAAAGGGAAATACAGGGCTTCAAAAGGCACTTCAGGTCTTCTAAAAATCTAAATTATTTTAGAGATAATTATCTTCATTGACCATAAAGAGAGCTGAGCAAAACAGACTCTCAAGTTACAGCACTTAGGCAAGATAAATCTAGGGCTTAATACATAACTTCAAAAGGCATGTGACTAGCCACCCTGGCTTCAGAGGGATAACATCTGTGTTTAAAATCTTTGCTGACAATACTGGTCATGGTAATGGGCACTGCTCTGGGTTAGGAATGTATTCTGAGAAGAGGATCCACACAAACTTTAAAGGGAAGGAGACTACCCCAGAGATGCACATAAACAACTGATTTTCATTACTAAACAGTGACACAGCTGAAAGATAATTTTTATCTAAATTAACTGCTACAACCTTTGATTTATAGGATAGTACATAACTGCTGTAGAAATGAACATTTTCTATTTGAACATCCATTTTTCAGTTTAAAAGCAGGGGCTTAACTGACACTCTTTTCTGACTTCCAGGTTCAAGTGTCCTATATGAATATCAACATGGAAATTCAAAAGCCAAAGCTGACCAGCAGTGATTTGTATTAAATAATTCTTAGCCATAAGTTACAGATGAACAGTGTCCACCTCTTCCCAGGTTCCCAAGTTCCAAAAACTTCTGCTAATTCAAATAATTCAGAGCAAACTTCCATCAAATTTGGCTTTCATGAAGTATGTATTGGATATCTGCATTCACGTAAGGCTCTGTTTTAAGGGCAGCAGACAGGCTTGCAATCTTGAATGCAGTCTGTCCTTATAAATGCTGCAAGTATCACTATCTCTGTTTTGCAAACATCAGTGAAACTTTTATGAACTGAACAACAGAAATACCATACAACACATCTTCCTTGTTTATGAGGCTAAAGCAATAGGGATGTACGGACACTTGGCATCTTTGTAAGGTTCCACTGATTTCCTTTCACAATGGCACTGCTAAAGCTCCACTCACTGGAGCATTTTACAAATGAAGGAATAAGGATCGTTAAACTTATAAGTGTATACCAAATAAAGATGTAGAGCTTGAGAAATAAAGTGCCTGTTTTTTGTAATGCACTTAGCATTTTTTATGCTGCACCATCTATTTTATTGCAGGGCTCCTAGTGTTATGTGCTGCTGCTGGGAGTGTTCAGCATTCCCACTAATCACATTCTAGAGTTTCAAACTGGATATGAAAAGAAAATTACTTAAAGTTTGCCTTATACAGTAGAATAGCCAGGGGAAGGGGTTAGTTGGAGATCAGGAGAATGCAAGGAGCTTTGGCAGAGGGCTTTTCATAGCTATATATTTCTCCTGGAAAGTGAATTCAGGTTCACCTTGGCTGAAGAGCCTGCAGTGCCCTACGATGCAGAAGGGACCTGCACCTTCTGACTCAGATAGCAGCAGCAAAGGGGGGGTTACAGCCTTCCAGAGTAGCAACACTGGACTGGTTGTGTGGGTTTGTGCAGATAAAAGATTAGGTATGATAGACTTCCCTTGGGTGATGAGATGATAGGTCTTTGATGCTAGATGTTACACTGGGAAAGATAGAGAAGGAAGGAGATTTGGAGTTCTCATTCAGGATTCACTCACCTGTGGATCTATTGTGTGCATTTAATGGAATACATATGTGGATTAGGTGCCGTGCTTTCAGTCTGCACACCAAGTTTGATGATTTCAAAGCACAGATACATGGGCTTTGTGAAGCCTCTTAAGATCTATAAACTCCCAGTAACCTGACCGGGGGTTCTAATACATAGCATCATTTGGAGATCAAGCATCTTAAAACTCCAGAAAATGTCAATGAAATAAAATACCCCATTCCAATGGCTCAACTATCACAGGGAGCAAGGGTTTTGTACATTCTTGTATGCAGCTCAGGAAGTGAAGAAACACCACCATTACCTATATCCATTCACGGATCCCAAAACATAACCTGTCAGCTAAATCTTTCATTGCCTCTTCTGTCTCCTTTTCCTTCTCCCATAATCCCCTCAAAACAATTGGAAGAGTCACACATCCTACTTCTCGGCAACTATAAATGAAAAGTGAGGGATAACTACATAGGAGAGTTGATGTCTTTGTGCTCTGCACAAGTACTTGAGTTTGAAGTGAGTACACCACAAAGACAAGGGAGTAAGCTTTGGAAACCACCAGAGGGGAACTGGCTGTGAACCTCTGTAATGCATCATTATGTGCTTCAGGTACTTTACACCCTAGGCAGGTTTATTACTGCCTAGAGTTTTCCCGTTCCACAAAAGAGCTCCTTCACCTTGTCATGTGAAATTATGGTTTGCCTTACACACAGCCCATGGCAAGGCCTCAACCCACATTATGTTTATAAAGTAGCAATTAATTTAAAGAAACACAGAAGCACAGTAACATAACAAATGGTAAGAAGGATATGAAGTTGTCCTTCCTTTCCTTCTGCCCAAATCAGACAGTATATAAAGAACAGTGGAAGTTCAGTCCTGTATTTTTCAAATGCAGATCAAAACAAGCTCTGGTTTACTAGAATTTCTCTGGTAGTTACAACACAACTTCCTCTTCCATCCTAACAAGAGGAGCAGAAGAGCCTCTGACACACTGCCTTTAGAAAGCCACCCTGAGGGAGTTATAATTGCTGGTAAATAAACATATTCTCAGACAACACAGTCCTTTGAAATAAATATTGAAAAAGAAAAAAAAAAGGTGGGGGGTGGGGAGAAAACAGCAGAACTTATATAAGCAACAATAAATCAACTATGTCTCTCAGCTAAGTTGAAGACAAGACCAACCTGGTATTAAAGAAAGATTTTCAAAACTGTACCCTTAATGTTTAACATTTTAAAGTAGAATCAATATCCTATTGCCAACATAACATTTTCTACGTCTCAATTTTGAAAAAAAACTCCTTTCAAAAATATTTTGCAATAGGAAGATAACAAGTCTTGTCCTTTAAATAGTCACCCTCTCACACACATACTTTATAAAATGGGAAGGAAATCTTAAATGTACCAACTGAAAACACAGACAATAATATGCTCTTAGCTTTGTTTTTGTTAATAGTTTTGCCTCAAGGCTGAGACCTTTCTGAGCTGAGGGATCTCATTTAAAGCACAGTGGATTTAACTCTTCAGACTGTCTCAAGTTTAAACGAAATAATAATTGCTATTTTCCATTCTGCTTAATAGTGTGAAGTAAAAAAACAACCAACCAACCCTCATCTGTGTCAGTGTAATCCTACACTTCTTCCACTTCTTTTAAAAAAGGTCTTAAGGCTTGTCTTAGAGCAAATAAACTGTGATATTCTTAAGAATATGGTAATTGATACCTTCATCCAGGATGAAGCCTGGAAATTTCCAGGTTTCAAAGGGCACTGGAAGTCAGTTCCAACAACAGCATCCTTTTCTTTCTCCCCTCATGCCACAGCCAAATCACCCTCAATTGAAGGAAGGTTTAAATTTTGTATAATGCAAAAAGATGAACAGGAGGAGGACATGGCAGGAAGCTTCTCTGCTGCTTTTTCCAAGAGAAAGGCAATAGAGTCTAGATATTGACATCAACATACTGAAAACATTTATGAAAACCTTTAATTTCTAAAGATACATACCCCTATAATACTCAAGCCTTTCAGGTACTCCTGGCGAGGTTGGGCTTGTGGTACACAACCTGCTAGAACAACTTTCTTCTTCCCTTCTTGGGCTTTCCTAAAGAAGGACAAACAGTATGTCATTATTTTTTTTACTTATCATTTTCAACTTCAACACAGTCATATTATGCATGTGACAACAGAAAGCAATCACAATGAAGACCTCACCAAATCAGAAGCAACTTGTGTATGTCTGAGCCTCAGAAACCAAACAAACCAACACACCAAAAGAGCCCCATTTGAAGCTACAGCACATCTGGTTCAGTTTGGGAAGTATGTACAGAGACCATGACCACTGCATATCTTGGATAAAAACACAACTCTGAAACCCCTAATCAAGTTCACTTAACTTTACTTGCCAAAATGGTAGAAGAGAAACTGGCCAAGAAAGATGGGACAGAGTAATTAACATTGATTCAAGAAGTTACACAGAATGCAAGGGACAGAGAACAGGACACAGGCAGGAACCCCTAACTCAGAACATAGACATTTATGTAGCACCAGTCAGAACTGACCAGTTACATCAGTCTTCTGATGTGTACTTAAAACATTTATTTGCTTTAAAATATGCAGTTGCTTTAAAATGTTTAAGTATTTAAGTATATTGAGCACTTTCAAGCTTTAAGTACTTGCTTCTGGCAGAGAAATGTTTGTCTGGATACCTTACATAATTCCTTAGCTTTAATACTACCTTAGCATCAAACAGGAAATCAAAATATTAAAATGAAATGGTTAACACTGTTCATCTCATTAGTAACTTTTAATTCAACTATGAGTATTAAGCCAGCATTAAGTCTCAAAACTAATGGAAGGCCTGCACAGAACTAGCAGCTGCACACAAAACAGTGAGATACAAAACTTGCCAATGTTCATCAAACGTTGAAGATCATCCATTAGCACAATAACCAACACAACTACTACATTGCAATGTGCAAAATATGAAAGAAGAAAGATGCTGAATAAGTTTGGGAGATTGGCTGGGTCTAACATATTATGGGTTGCTTCAAGAACAATCCTTCATGGTTACGTGTCACATCACAACCTCCCGGCAGGCTTCTGTCAAACTGGAACCTGGAATCTTTTCTCTAGCAAGGCATGAATTCATGAAGTGTTTAACATTATGTTGGAATAAGCTAAGACACATCACAACACCTTTCAGAAAAAATATCCACAATACACAAGTATTGAGACAATTTTATACTCTTCAGCGTTCTTGAGCTGTCTCCAAGATAAATGCACTAAAAGGAAGTGATGTTCAACAAGCACATGAATGCTAAAGGAGTATCTATCTCCAGCAATGGCAATTTTGACAAAAAAATCCCAAACCGACCCAGAGTGGTACCACAGAGTTTCCCTGCTCAGAATTTTCACTCCACACTTGTTATATGGACAAATCTGTTTACAATTTACAGCTCAAACGAAAGCTCATAATAATACACAGACTGTAATAATAAAGGAGATCACAGGCTGTTTTGCCAAGTATCTTGTGTTAGCTGCTGCACTAAAATGAGGTATTTTAAAGGCAAGAAACAAACACAGGTGAGAAATAACAAGAAAACAGATTATGACTATTACTTCATACCCAACATAAATACAGCAAATATCTATAAGATATTTGATTTTGTTTTAGTGGGGCTTTCAGGAAATGTTCAGTCATCATACAGAACCTTGTTGGTCCTCTACTTGCACACTAAGTGTATAATATAAATGCACATCTTCTTATCTCTTCCTTTGTAATATTTCTGTGGGTAAAGAACTATGATAAGACACTAATTTAGTATATTTCTTCGGCACAGAACATAGAAACATGTCTCCAAAACCTGTGATCCCTCATTTCTTTCAGTGGTAAACATTTAAGGGCTTTATAAAACTTCAGTGGAGGTTGCCTACTACATATCCAAGAAAAAATAAGAAAATAAAAAAAATCATACTTCATGCATTACCTAAAAATGTCACATAGCACCATGTGACACTCCACTAACTCGAAGGATAAAAATCACTACTTATATAGTCTAACAGACTCAACCTAATGCCTGGAGGCAAGACAATAAGCCCTGTCTCCAGCAAACAAAGCACACATCCCTAGGCAGCCTGGCATCTGGTATAATCTGCTGCAAGCAACAGCCCGCTCATCTACTTGAAAACCTGTGAGCACCACAGAAGAAAAAGCTCTTATTCATGTCTTTTTATCTGAGAGAAAAAAAAATAAACAAAGTTTCCCTTGACACATTAAATGGCATTTTAATGTTATTTCACAGCTTTAACATTTTGCAATATCTTCTGGGACTATAACTAGAGCTAGGAGGAAAAAGTTGAAATTCATATTCTTCGTAAGAAGCATTACCTTCACTTAACTTTTTAAAAGTTGTACTGGTCTCTACAGAATAAAGAATTTTGTACACTGAGATTTTTTTTTAAAAATGCAATTAAGTGGAAATGCCAGAACTAAATTTTCAATCATAGCAAATTTTCATTACCTTCATAATATACCACACAATACATAAAACCTACCATAAATGAAAACCCATTGTAAGAAAATTATTTTTTGCCTCATTTTCAAGAAACTACTTCTCAAAATATGCATTCCAGTGCTATATTGTCACCTCCTTTTAATACTGTTTAATGAGTCCTACTCATATTAACAAAAGCCTGCAAAAATTATCCTTCAGAAACGTAGTTAGCATGAAAACAGTATTAGAAGAGCCTTTAGTCTTCAAAAATATGAATAGTAAGGAGACTAATACCTCATGGAATTTAGTAGGTGGCATGAATAAATACATCTTCTCTTTTAGAATCCTTTATATTTTTAAGTTACATGAACTTTACCTTGAACTTTCAATTTAATTGACTCATGAAAGATCTTCTAGAAATCCTCATTTCTAAAAGCTATTTGCAAGATATAAATCTGAATACAAATTTAATTAGAGCAATTTTTTTTTTTTTTTTTTTAAAAAAATACTTATTCAAGCTACTTCCTAAGTAATGGGTGGGAAATAAAAAACAAGTGGGAAACAACAAGGGTGTGAAATGCTGCATACAGCAGAGGACTCATACAAGATCACAAGATTTATACTCCATTGCAGAGATAATGAAATATGTTCCATGTATTCTGCCTTTAAAAAGCAAATTTGAGAATGCAACTCGAGAATTTCTGCCTTGCTCATGAGCACTTGTATTTATGTTAGGAACATTCCCAAATCAGGATATTTTTCTCACAATGCTAATGGTTCCTCTAATTTTTTTTTTTTTTAAGCTCCAGGAAAATTTAGTCAGTAATACAACAAAGACAAAGAAACACCTCCCACCCTCCAAAAAAGCTCTCCATAAGCATTTGCTACATCAGCACTGTGTGTATAGCAACACCGCTGGATACCATGGCAGCCAGTGCAGGAAGCTGTTCCGCTTTCTCATGACTCACACAGATACTCAGGTGGAACTACCAAAAGAAAAACGTTTGGGACATTTCTCTGAGGTTCAAATCTAAGGAAGGTAATAAAAAAGTGAAAGCAGAGAAGATGGGCCAAATTCAACAGAAGACAATATGTGATATTGAAAGTAATTGCTAACTTGCTCTTTGCTAGAGACAAGAGCCAGACCACCACCGCTTCCCTGCTCATTTCCCTTCCTATAAGCAGAGCTGCCCACTGGATTTTTGTAAGCTGTAAACTCTTAAGTAACTCGTAGCTTTTAGGGAGCCACCACTACATCCCACCAAGGGATCCCAGCTGCACAGGAAGGTTAAACAGGCCTCTGAAACAAAAAGCACTCTGGTCTGCAGGGAGGAAAGCTGATAAGCTACAGACTACTCAGCATGAAACATGCAATTTGTAAAGTGCTGCTCTAGTACCAGATATGTGAAACCATAGGAGACCAAGTATTTTGCCTGCAAACCCCACATTTTCTCCTCCAAAACCCATTGTTTGTGGAATTAAATAATGAAGAAGTATGTAAACAATGAGCAGAAGGTTGCCTGCAGCAGGACTAAGTAACAGTCAAATACAAGTAAGAGAAAATGCAAGAGTGGAATTTTAAAAGCAAGAAATTAAGGGGGAAAGTGCTTTACCGTGAGCTTCTTCAGCTTTGTATGGATAGCACTTGGGAAATGTTCATAAAATAAGAACTATTTCTAATGCTAAAGTACAACAGGAAGTAACTTTGTTGTCTGAAACAAAAAAGTAATTATTTCAATCTGACTCCTACTAGGCAATGACAATAGACCATCCCTGAGCTGTTCCCACCAAATGCAGCACTCACCTCCTCACTGTTGTACGTGTACAAACCTGGCAACTCCCCCATAAGATGTGTATACTTAAATGGAATTGTGCAATGCATCATTGTAGTCTATTCATACCATTCTTATGGCCTCCTGTTACACAAAATCCACAACAGTCCTTATCAGGTGTTTTAGAAAGGTGTGAAACCATAAACAAAGGGGAGCTTTGTGTCTAGAAGTGCCCAAACAAATGTCAGGATGGATGAAGAAGTTCTGCTACAGCAGCTAAATACAGTATTAGCTGAATATATAATGAGATCAGACTGCCAATGGTTATAAAAAGTAAAATTCAGGAGATACTACTTCCCAGGCTGTAGAAATGGTGTTGTGATGTCTCTGGGGAAAAAGAAATGCTATTTGGCTGAAGATGCAAATATGTGAAAGATCTTCCAATTCTCTCATATGCTGAATTAATCAGCAGAAAGCCACAAGTCTTAAAGAGAACGCAACATCCATAGAATGAAAAGATGGTGCCTGCACAGCATTTGGAATACATTCTTGAAAATCCATAAAATCACACAGCTCTTTTCTGTTTGAGAAATTACCAACGGTAATTGAACCGTGGCTTTACAGGCTTTGAGCAAATGTAATGTCTCATTAGTATCCAAAGGCTCGCTTTCCATCCTCACTGTCTCCTGTTGTTGCTCTTACCTTTCTCCAACTTCAACGCCCCCTCTTTCTCACTTCTGGCCATCTGTTATCACTCCTTCTCTGCTCCAAGCTCTGCAGCTCACTGGGCCCTTCCACAGCCCCATTTAACTCATTGATATAGGAGAAATTTATTG